CAGCATTTATTTTCCTGTCCTGAGGGACCTTGTTAAATTTGAGCAATCCAGTTGTCTGAAGAAAGCTTTTCGATGTCTTTGTATAGCAGCTTCTCCTTTGTATCACAAATGCCATCAGCAACATTTGCAATTTCCCTTCCAGAAAGGACAAGGAGCTCCAGGACGGGAGCCTGTGATCAGCCATGAAGAGCAAAAAGAGATGATGCTGTACTACTACAGGAAGCAGGAGGAGCTGAAGGTAAGTGTTTCTTTGGTGCCCCAGAGCTGGGCTGCTCCGACAGAGCTCAGGCTGCGTCCCTCACTGCCTCCCTCCCCTCTCTGCCACAGAAACTGGAGGAGGAGGACGACGACTCGTTTCTAAATGCTGAGTGGGCAGACAACCATGCTCTGAAAAGGCAATTTCACGGTGTAAAAGACATCAAATGGGGTCCAAGATGAAGCTCTGCAAACCCCTTCCTAAGCTGCTCGGTTGATGCTCTTGTTTGAAGCAAGGGGTTGTGTTGTGTGTGGTAGATTCTTCTGACAGCAGCTGAAATTGTCACTTCTGTGGCCTTAGATGTTCAATAAATGTTTGTATTTCTCTGTGACTGCAGCAGCACTTTCCTCTGCAAAGAAATGGACAAATTGTCTTGACACTTGGCATTTTATTAGAAACTTGTAATTGGATATGGAAATGTCAATCTCTTTCATAGGTAAGAAATGTAGTAAATACGCACTGGAATGCTTGGTGTTGTTCAGAGTGGTCTTTTTACTCTTTTCTCATTCTTGCATTACTATTAGATGGTGTGCTCTGCAGAAGGTAATTTATTTTGTAGGAAATCAGTTTCCCCTGACTAATCCAGGGAGAATTAAGGTTTTTCATGTGCTTCTTTACATTTCAACATAGCTGTTTCCAAACTGTCATTTTGAAATGAGTTAACCTCTTAATAATTGTTTCAAGTGTTTTTATATAAACACTAGTAACATCCTCGTGGAATGCTTCCTTTTCATTCTTCAGGTTTCGTTTTTCTTGCTGGTATATAGAGGTTGACAGTAATGTACAAAAATAAGCATCATTTGCAGGTAGGTTGGATAAACCCAAGTTTAATAGGACCTGGTCTTCTAGGATGGAAGTGAAAAAATCATCATAATTTTCTGTATTGGTGTGGTTGAAGAGACACTGATCAAGGTAAAAGACACGTGTTTGCTGAACTCGCAGCTTGAAGATTGGATGCAGAACAGGTAATGAATGCCACTCACTGAACTATTAATGGTGGTTTTACTTCAATCACTGATTTTTTTTTTTTTACTTTCAGGGAAATTTGGTGTCTGGTAGTTTTTCTTGAATCTCAACTTTACAGTAACATGACTTTTTACAAAAAGAAACCAGCATTTCTGAGTTGAAAAACTTCAAATATTTTTAATTTAAAATTTATTTGGAATTATTTCACATGGCAAAAAAGGTTTTTGAAAAAACACTTTGTTCTTCCACTTCCTAAGAGGAAAATCAGTGTCCCAGAGCTTATAATATTCTCATTTCCTCTCTGAAAGCAAGGGAAAAGTAGGCATAGGAAATAATTAACATGGATTCTGTGCCCCTTTAACTGCTGTTCTCTGCTGTAATTGGTGCTGGTTTTTTCTTTAGCTGAGCAAATTTTCAATAGCATTGATCCTTTTTGGAGTTCTCACAAAAGTATTTGTGGATCTGCAGGATTCATTTATTGTGGGTGAAATGGAGTGAACTCACTGGGAAATGATTGAAGAGTACTGGAACCCAGGAAAGCCTGTGGGTATTGAACTGTCCAAGGAGATAATGAGATAGAAACACCACACATAGGTTTGCAACTTTGCAAAAGCATTTTGTCTTTCTTGTAAACCACTTATTTTTACATGTTTGAGAGTAGCCGTGCCCTTCCACGGAGAAAATCCATTCTCTCTCAAAGGAGACACACAGCAGAAGATTTCTAAAATTTTTGTTTTGTGGCCATATCACCATCCTGATGAATGGAAATGGTTTCCACACCTGGTTTCATTCGTTTTCTCCTTTTCACGGTTTTCCTTCCCCACATTGCTGCATTCTCTGCCTCACCCAGGATTTGGAAGGATTTATTTATTGCTTCCTGCAACCTTGCCCAGTGTTCCTGGTGACAAACTTGAGGCTGATTTGAAGGCAGGAGTGGGGAGTTCAGACAGCCATACCGGCACTGCATGTTGCCTTCCAGCAAGTTCAGATGCTGATGCTGAATTATACAATTTCCAGATGTGTGTCATGCCCACAGCTGTGTGTGGGGCACAAACCACTTAGTCCAAACAACTTGCTAGCTCTCCTTTGCAGTACTTTCTCTTTAGGCTGCTCTTCTGGGAAACTGCAGGGATATTCCTGCTGAAACTCCTTCCCGGAGCCAGCCCTGAGTGTCCCTCCCATAGCATTGCTGCTGCTGCCTCATGGCACCATCCCTGTGGATGCCTCAGCACTCAGCCTGGAGAGATTCCAGCTATGGCACTTCAGCTGCTGGATTTTTAGGGCTTGGGACAGAGAAGTGCATACCTCGTTAATTTTCTGTTTTGTCTACTGGATACTTTGGGTGTTGTTTCAGAAAGATCCGAATAATTCAATGTCTGTTCATCAGGTTTTTTTTATGCTTATCTTCATTCTGACTCTCAGACTGCTGTGAACAGTGAATATTTGGAAATGAGGTGAACCACTAATTGACAGCTTTCCCCAATTAGACTTGGAAAGTTTATGTAAAAAGGAAAAAATAGCAAGTCAAATGCAGAACTATAAATAGCTCAGTCAAAGGAACAGATCCTGAGTGAAGCTTGACCTCCCAGCTTGGAGCAAAAGCTGAAAAGCTGCTTCCCTTCCTGCTGGTGCTGGGGTTTGTACAGGGTCTGTCACTATGTTTGAGGATCCATTTAAACAGGCATGCATTATTAAGCACTGCACTTTTTTTTTTTTCTTTTTCTTCAAAAGACGTTCCCAGTGTCTGTGAAATGCTCCATCCTGGGAAGCAGCTGCTTCTCTGGCACCTGGAGGAATTTCTTACTGTCTGCCTGCTCATGAGTGGTGGCAGGCAGGGAGGAAAGTCAGGAGGGGATCAGGTCATCAGTTAAATCACTATTTCAATGTAAAATGTCTTTTTCCTCCAAAGTTGTAAAAGCAAGGAGAGGACTGAGAGTTGGGAAAAGCAAAATGTTTTGCCCCAAGGAAGGGACTAACTTCTAAGCTGCAAACTGGTTTTTGCTGATCTGCTGCCACTGCAGTTGTTTTGCCACCAGGAGTGAAGACCCTGGTTTCAGCTGGGAATCCTGCAGGGCATCAGATGGATGGAGGTGTGGATGAAGTGAACAAAGTGGGGAAAGGACCTGTGTGCTCAGTGGCAGGAGCAAAGGCAATGGACACAAGGTGAAACACAAGAGGGTCCCTCTGAACATCAAGGAACACTTTGTCACTGTCGGGGTGGCCGAGCACTGGCACAGGTTGCCCGGAAACGTTGTGGAGTCCCATCTTTGGCTGGACCAGGTGTTCTCCAGGTGGCCACCCCTAGGCCATGCTAACTTTACCTGGTTGTGAGTAAAGTCTGAAGGAAAGGTAATTCCCAACTTTTGTTAGGATGTCTGCTTATGGGCTGAAACCCCAATTAAACATGAGGGAAGGCTTCCCAATAAAAAATGAGGGAAGAAAATGCACAAATTTTAGTGACTTGTAAACATTGACTGCCGGCCAGATAACTACCAAAAAAGATCAGCTGGGCTGTGGGCCCCAGGCTCTCCAGAAGGGAGTTTCACCAGGATTCAAGAGTTTTGGGGAGCCCATGAGAGCAGGTGCCCCTGCCCTCAGCCCTGCAGGCCAGAGTCCAGCCTGCTCCATAAAAAGATGATCGAGTTTTTTTCACTAGTATGGTTTGTCAGCAGGAGGAATTGTTGGGATGTAGATCAGTCCCTTTGTATCTGCCTGGAAAATGGGTGGCACCTGCCCCATGAGTTGGGAGGAAGGGGCCAGGTCTGGCCCAGGGCCCTCCCCAAAGGTAAAAACTTGCCCTCTTCCACCCTCAGGACCAAGGCATGGGTTTCTCCAGACCTAAACCTATTAACCAATATCGTGCATAGCACAGGCTATGACGGCTTCCTACTGAAAAGGGGAGAGCAGTGGAGCAGCGGGATTGCAGCCAGGCTTAGGGCTCTGCCCGGCCTCTCCTGCAGTTTCCCAATGCTCTGGATGACCTCAACCCTCTGTCCATCTCCTTAGCCTCTCTTCCTTCCGCTGATAGGATGCTAGTTGCTGGTGAGATTTTTCCAGTTGAGCACAGGATTGTGCCTTAGTCATCTGAGAAAGCTCCCTTCCTCCCTTTAAAGTTTTTCCAGGATTAATTTGACTTTGTATCAGCAGGAAATGACAAACCATGTCACTGTTTTCTTTCCAAGTGTTTCATACTACATTCTACCTGGGCACACGGCATCTAAGTGGGGAAGCACAGTGAACCCATGAAGTATTACCAGTAGGAAGTGACATTTTTCCTCCTTTTGTTCAGTAAATTCCCTGTGGGCTGCAGCAAAAATATTGGAGACATTTTTAAGACAGGAAGGCTGTTCTGGTTTCAGCTTAGATACATTACTGATTTAATTTTCTCTCCAACTGAAACCAAATCTGACTAAAAATTTTCAAGTGAAGATTGGGAACTGATAAAAAATCCTGAGAATATGACCTGCATTCAAGTGCTGGCTCTAACCCTGCTTTAGGATCAGAAAAATGAACCCAGTGTTTCCCTTAAGTAAAGTATTCTTGGCGTCTGGTAACTTCCAAGAGTCTTTTATGAAAGCAGCAGCCATTTTGAAGCTTGTCCTTCACAGACTGTCCAGCACAGGTAGCAGCAGGAGCGCATCTTGGGCACATCTGTTCTGGTGGTTGATTAAATATTTTCCACCTTCTTTAATATTCCTAAACATGCATTTGGCAGTTGCAGTGAAACTGTAAATTACAGTGAAAAGTAATCTGTACCACGAGTTAAAACTGTAGAGTATTTTTCACAGAAGGATTTATAGACAGTCAAAGGTATGAAGCCCTCTTTTTATTGTATATATTTATTTTTATTTTACAAATAATTATATTCACTGATACAAATGTTCCTTCACAGAAGGTACATTTTTTTTTTAAAAAGGGGTAGAGTGTCATCCAAAATAAGCCATTTATTGTTCATTAATATAAAATGTATTCATATTTCTAGGGGGTGTCATATCCAAACCACTGTTCATCCAGATTTCCTGTATGATCTGCTCCCTGCGCTCAATCCTTTCGGCCAGTTCCGCTGCCTCTGCTGAGTTATAACCTGAGTAAGAAGGTCTGTAAAGTCTGTCTGTCTCATCCTGGGTGTTTGAAAGGGAGGAATCCTCCCCCTCCTCTTCCTCCTCCTCCTGTTCACTGCTCCTGTAGGCTCTGGCACTCTCTGGCACCAGCTGATCCTTCTTCCTGTGCAGTTTCTGGATGTCACTAGGACACAACACGCAGATGACTAAGACACACAGTGTGAGGATTAACCCCACACAAACGCTGGACACAAACAGGAGAGCGACTCTTTCAGGGTGATCTGCAGGCAAGAAAGCCAAGGCTTAATCACTGTACAAACTGCCAAGGCTGGTTACAAACCCCAGCAACCATTCCCGAGTGTTCTGTAGGCACAGGGCACCCAAAGCTCCTGACGCTCACAGCCCAACCCCGCCAGCTCTGCCTCTCTGAACTGCTGGGCAAAAATCCATTCTGGTTATAACAGTGTAAAATAACAACATGACCCCAGCCCTTTATGAGCAGCTCAGTGCTGTTGTCAACCAGCTGCCAGAACTCTGCACACCTTGTCTGGTCTTTCCAGCTATCCTGCCAGAATGGGCCTTGCCCTCACAAACAGGGGGCATGAGAAGAGTGACTCTGGGATCTGCAGGGCCTCGGCAGCATCTCAAGGCCAGGCTGAGTAGGGAGCACTTTTCTTCCTTTGCACCTTAGTATTGCTAAGTCACAGAAGCTGCTTTGTCTCACAGCAGAGATGGCTGGGTTTGGGATGACTTTTTGCTTTTTTTTTATTACTCCTTGATGATCCATGTATGTATGCAACCCAACAATTCCAAAGATGGATGTCTCCAGTGCTCTCACAGGTCAGGGCCATGTTTTCAAAACTACTGAACAACCAACAGTCCCCATCCAAAATTTAAAAATATCTCTGCCGCAGTTGCTAAGAGAGTTTGAATCCTTCAAGGCAAGGAATATTCCCTAAACATCAATTATGCTGGGATTGTCTCATCTGCAAGATTGTGATTATACTGTAATGATATCATTACCATAAACATGGGATTACTACTTGTAGCCTTTGGAGTTGATCCTCCCTTTTCCCACAATGCCACGATCTAGTGAGCCAAACAATCTCAGCCTCATTTTCCTACCTCTAAGGTATGCGAATGTAGCCAAGTAGTTAGAGCTAACAATAGTTCCGTCTTTCTTTGGAAGTCTCGATTCCCTTGGATCAAGGTCCACACCTGTGACATGAGGAAGTAAAGCATATTCAATGAAGCTACTAAACTGATATTCACCCAGTAACTTTCCAGCTAGCAAGTCCACCCAAGACCACAGGCAGGCCAGTGCTGTGCTGAAGGAGCTGCAGAACACTAGACCAAACAATGGTTGATTAGTTAAATAAAGTATAATTAACAAGTTATTGAAAACATCAAACATCTAGAAAATGGCAAATTCTGCCAAGTGAAGCCCCTTGTGCCTATTCCCATTGGGGTTTCTGAAATAATTTTACTTCATGAAGCTTCACAGTTCTCCAGTGGCTTTCCCAACCCAAACATGCCATGCACTTCTGTTACTGAGGACATGCATCAGGCTCATCCTTAACTTTGTGGCCTTCAAGAAGAGCTGGTGTTGGCATAACTTGTAAAAGATTCTTCACCCTGAAACAGCTACAATTTCACTTTTATTCTTCCCAGGATGCTGGCTCTGGGCAGGTCACTCTTCCCACAGCTTTGCCGTGACTGCAGGACTGTGTTCACATCCCACTCCCGGCCTGTCCTCTGCTCTCCAATGGGAAGAGCAGCTCTTTCATCAGAGTTTCCACTACTTCATCCCAAACCCTGGGTCTGTGGTGGTACATACCATCATTCTGTTTGATGGAAGACTTGTTATCAGGGACCAGGGGGTTGACTGCTGTGAGGATAAATTTAGGAACTGCAAAGAAAAAAGATAAATTGTGTTCTGTTAGTTTTAAGAACCCTCTCCCCAGTTAATTACAAATCCCACTGCTAACCCTGGGTTTGCTAACTGGGTTTCTGACAGTGGTATTGAAGGTTGAAATCAATCCTGGAGGTCTTTTCCAATGTTAGTGATTGTGTGCTTTGTGTGAAGTCAGGGCAGCTCTGGGTCTGTGACGGGATTCACACACCAGCCTGCTCCAGGAACGTCAGTGCATCTCCATACAGCCTGGCAACCTGCCCCGTTTTCAGCCCCTCAAGGGTGTGCCAACCAGTGGATGGAGACAAATTGGCCTCTAAATTTGGCATAAACTGGGCTACAGCCAGATGCTAAGTTGCATCTAGATACTGGGTTTGGATGAGAAGAATTCACTGTCATTCTAAGATAAATGTTGAAGTCTTGTGTGATGTCATTTGGGAAGCTTCTGAGATGGACAGTTGCTGAGGAAGGTGAGGAGGATGGGAATAAATGAGCTCCATCTTTCTAATTTCATTATTTTATTCCCTTGATAAGTGTTCAGTTTTCTTCAAATAATTAAAAGAACTACAACCAGGTGCATTGTTCAGGCATTGAGAGTTCACATATTCTGTAATGGATGAATGGGGCCTTCAGCCACCCAGATCTTGGCACCTGTTCCTGTACTATGTGAAGGCAGATTGATTGATTTTCAGACTGATGGGAGGCGGGGGGGGTAAAAAAGGAAGAAATTTCAAGTATGGCGCTCACCTCTATCCCACATAGAAACATTTGCCAAGAATTAGTGTTGAGAGAGTTAAATGGAATAGCGGAGACTGAGTTTTGCAGCTTAGCATAGTTTTCGCTTGGAAAACAACTAAAAATAGCACTTCTTTTTGAGCAGAACTTTTCTTTCTGTGTGGGCTCAAAGTCAGAGCTGTTTCCTTTCCTGATGAAGGAATCCTTCTGGGAGTCTTAGCTCCTGTTTGCAGTGGAAGGCCAACAGATAGAGAGGTAAATAAGTTCATTTCTATTATGTCTTGTACCTCGTGGTAGTTTGTAGCTGTTTTCCAGCAGCAGAATACTTTCCTTGGTGTATGGGGCAGACAGGGAGCAGGACTGCAGTCTGCATGTGCAGGCCAAGCTGTTCTGAACAACATGCCTGTGTGGTGAACAACATCCTGGGAGGATGCACCTTCTCCAGTGCAAAGCTCCTGTCGTGTGGCCTGGGACTCCTTCACCTGTGCTGATGTTCCTCCTCCCAGGGTGAGCTCCCCAGGGCTTTGCTTCCTCTTTTCCCCTATGCCATCCAAATATTTATTGCAGGGGAATGTTTAATTCAAAATGGCATGGACAGAAAGGGCCACTGGCTGCTTGCATTGCTTGTTTTCATTATTGTGCCTTGCAGATGCAAGGACTTTGACTGGTATAGGCTACCTCAGGTCTCTGAGCAGAACAGCTGGTACCAGAATAGGAATTTTTATTAAGATCATCACATCTGTATTACAACTTGTGCCAGCACTGCTTTGGTAAGCAGGAGTCCGTCACCTCCTGCAGGCTGCCAAAGGCAGCCCACAAAGGGACTCTGGCAGCCAGGGAGTGGGATACACCGCGGGGCTGCGGGAGCCATGTTTCCTGAGAGAGGATTCCCTGTCCCTGAAGTGCAGGCACAGCAGGAGCCAGGAGGTCCCACCTCGTGCAGACAGGAGATGGTGCTGAGCACATCACTGGGGGTGCTGAGACTTCCAGAAACCAGCACCTCGCAGCTCCTGTCATGTTTTTTACTATCAGGATTGCACTGCAAGTGTAAGAATCCAGCCAGACACACCACCCCTAAACAGCTGCTGACCACTGGGTGGGGAATATGGGGTTTTTTCACACTCCTGACCATGACAGAAATACTCTGAAGTGTGTTACAGCCCTGAGAACAAAACTGTTCTGCTGAGTTCCTGTCAATACAGGGGGAGATCTATTTGCATTATCTTGGGAAGCATCAGATTAGCAGGCATCCTCTAGTGAGGAGAATGAATGGAAATTATAATTTTGTAATATGCCAAATTCTTCCCATGTTCCTTAGATGATCTGTAAAATAATCGGATCTGCAAATCATTGGCTTATGCTTCAGACTGCATAGCCCAGTAAGATTTGGCAGACAAAAAACTCTTCCAAATGTGCCAGCAATACAAAAGAACACTATTTGTTACCCACGTGTTTTTGCAAAACCACATCCCTAAATAACAGAATGCATAATTCCAGTGCAAACAAACTCACAAGCAAACTCACTCTGCTTTTCTGGTACACAGACGTGCAAAGAGGAATGACTTGTTGTAATTATGCTCATGCTAATTAGTGAGAATTACATTAGCTCATTCACAAAGGCAGCTGCACGGTAATATAATGTATTGGTCCAATGGCAGATTCCCAGATCTCTCCAATAATAGGAAGCTGAATTACTGCACCACCTTTCACAGCTGACAAACCAATTCCTGGGGAGACTGAAAATCTCTTGGGGCTCATTTTCCTCTGATCTTCATGTAGAGGTGATCTGGCCATCAATCTTACACTTGTTCTTAAAAGCATGTCTCAGGTAACCTGTGCCCTTTGACCACTGCTCACTAGGGATGCAGCCAAAGCACTCTGCAGTATGTACCTGTGGAGCTGCTCCTATTGAAGTATTTTAGGGAATTCTGCTTGCCTCTTATGAAATTATATTAATCTGTAGCAAGCAATATGGAAAACTGTTCCCTCTTGTTTGAGGAATGAGCTGAAGTACTTTTCAGTCCTGTAAGGGATGTATAACCTCAAACCTTTACTTTTCATAAACCTTCACTTTGCTTTCCATGGGAAAGGAAACCCCTCTGTGAGGGAGAAGCTGTAGATGAACTCACATGAATCAGGTTTCAGGACTGGGCTTGTACACAGTGCTTCAATTATGCTGGACTGTTTTACCTGCACGGATGCCAGGCAATGCCAGTTCATTTTTCCTAGCTCTGTTGCAGGTGAGCTCTGTGGAACAAACTCTTATCTTGATAGTATTTCTCAAAAATATTGAACTACATAGTTTTTTTAATAGCAAAAAAACCCTTAATGCCAGAGTCTTTGTTAGGTGCCGCTGTGCCCAGGGGGTTTATTCATGTATTTTGTATGGCTGTGTCACAAACTTCCTGTGTTAAAGGATGTTAAATGGATATTTAGGGAAGCTCAGTGCCCCCTCATATGTGGACATGCGTGTGTGTCTCTGCAAGCAGAAATGAGGCCTTGAAAATAATTGTGCATTTGCTCTTACCACATGCATAGCTGACATTTAGGTATTTTGTCACTCCGGGTAGGCATGGACTTCCAAAATCCTGGCTAGTGACAATGATTTTGCATCTCTGTTTCCCATAACACCTCTTTGATAACACTTCCAGCGCTGTGTAAGACAAACAGTCTGAAAGAAAAAATACATACAATAAATATACAACACCCTGGTGTTATCTGAAATGAGAGCTGCTGGATGCATGACTAGAGATACAAATCTGCACCTGATCTCAGGTGTAACTTCGCCTTAGCAGGACTTCAGGGTTAAATATTAAGATTTGTTAATGCAAGGAAGTCAGCTGCAATAAAAATGTGAATTTGCAGCCAGGTAACTCTCCCATGTTGCCTTACAGGTGCATACAAAGGGTGCAGAAAGAGTCTCGTCAAGCTCCATACAGGTGCCCAATGTAAGGTCTCAATATTCATTCAGGAGCTTGGAAAAAATAAGCACATCCAAATAGCTCTCCATCTATGCCATCTCAAATCAAGAGAGATTAAAGGCTGTTTCCAAGTCTGTTTCTCAGCCCTGGGTTACTGAGATGAGTCGACTGGATATCCCAGTTCAGTTCAAGTCAGGTGAGATCAGTTTTTATGTGTTGCAACAGCTCAGGTTACAGGGAAGTTCAGGGTATTAAAAAGTAGCTTTTGGTTTACTATGAAGAGGTCAAAATGGGCTCAATATTTAACCAGGAAAACATGTGGCTTCCAATAATGGGTTTTGCACTGGAGCTGAAATTATGTGAGTGGGAAAGTGTGTGAGTCACACTCTGCTTTAAAAAAATAGAAGGTCTCTAAATGTGATTAAGTTCTCTGCATCCACATTTGCTGAACTCCAAGCCACAAAGCAAAAAACACCCTGTAGTTTTGGTTTCTAAACAAAAAGGATGCAGAAAGGGCAAGTTTGGAGCAAGTAATACTTCTCTGAATCCTTCTGCATCACCTCACACACTGCAGCTTTCTGTGTATGGGATATGTTTCACTCTAAGCTTCTGAGGCAAGGGGGCTCTAAAGGTCTGAAATATCATTCTCTGGGGATTAAAATAGCCCCTCTTCCTACAATAAAGGATGGCCTCCAGACAGCTGCCAACTGCAGAAGCTCATTTGTGCCTCTGTAGAGGAGGGACAAACACTGTTTGCAAAGATACTCCACAGGTTCCCCAAATCTGTTTGAACAGACGAGAAGGTTTGAGACTGAGTTCCTGACATTTAATGTTTAAAAGTGGGGCAGATGTGTGATTTTTACAGTTAACTCCCTGACACCAGTACTAAAGAAGTCATATACCTGGGCAGAGCCATCAGGAGATATGGGGCTGATCTGTCTGGAAATGGGCTCGTGGGTTGTTTTGGACATGGATTTTAGGACAGAGCTCTCTGACTTTTCAGAGACCTAAAATCCCAATACCTGTGTGTCTCAAGAGAGTGCTGGGAAGGCAGGGAAGGGCTGACCTAAAGCATTGAGTAGTTCTGATTAAGTAACTCAGCAGTTTTAGTGTCCCTCCCTGGTAATTCCAGATGAGTAAGGATATATTTGCATGGATGTTTTAGGCTTACTTTGGCAAGTACAAAACCAACTGGACAGTATCAGGAAGAGTTGTGGAGTGATTAATATATTAATAGATTGGGAGCACAAAAGCACACTGGCAAACCGAATTATGTTTTTTATAGAATTTCCTGCCCTGGGAGCTACTCTTGGTGCCTTATAAAACCAGGAGGATGCTGTGCTGATGGTTTTCTACATATTCAGTGATGTGGCTAGTGTATGTTTCATTTTGCCTTTGCTCATGTTTCTGTGGGACTTAATAGCTTCTAATCATCTCTGTCCGTGTTGGATTTGGCTCCCCTGCCTGAGGAGCCAGTCATTATATGCCTGCAGGTTCTTGGCAGGCCAGTTTTTGGAGAACCTCCCAAAGCTTGCCTGGTGTCACAGGTGAGCACATGCAGGACAGGACAGACATTACCTGGGAAGTGTTATAACATAAAACAACTTATATAAAACTTCTTGCATTCTGAAAAGGTTTTGGGTTTTAGTGATTTAATAAAAAATCCTGTCTGGTTTACATGTGGCCTTGCTATCTTCCCAGTAGTTCTCCCAGCAGCTATGATGGGATTAACTTGAATAACTTATCCTCCTCCTGGTCAACTACCTTATTCCAGTGACTGAATGAGGACAGGTCAGCACTGTGTTTTGAGTAAAGGAATCCCATGGAATGGCCCCAAAGAAACCATGAGCTGGGAGATGAACATAAATACGCAGTGATGCAGTGTGGCTTCTTTCTAACTAGGTGCTTTTTGATCTACACAGATATCCCTGGGGCTTGTTAGACTGGTACCATACATTTTCAATAACCTGCCTCTGGAAAGGCACATTCCCAGAGTGTTAAAAGGCTGGTGGCATCCAGCGGTGGCAGACAAGGCAGCAATATGTGGCTGGGAAAACACTCCATTCTCCATGCCTTTCTCCCAAAGTTGCTACACACCAAGACTGTCGGTGGATCTTTTGTACCAAACACTGTATGGATGGCACGGGGACACGGGTGTCAAGACGAGGTTCTTAATGCACTAATAAACTATCCACTCTGACTGCAGCTATTTAATAGTTGGAGCAGAAAGCCTTGTTTCTGGAGGAAAGGCTCTTTCAGCTCCCTAATTAGCTTTGTTTTGGAAAGTTTTGGCATGCAAATGACATGCCATAAATCACACAGGCTTTAATGAGAAGTAATTTGTCTTCTGGTTTCTTAAAGCTGCTCTCAATTCAGACAGGAGGAGCTTTCCCTCCCTTTCTTTCCACCCTGCCACACAAAACCTGCAGGTGATGGAGCATCTTGTGCCAGGCTCCGGAGACAGCGTCCTGTCTCACCCTCTCCAAATGCTTCCAGCTGCTTTCATCCCCAACTGCGACTCAAGCCGCTTTGTGTTGTGGACTGTGCCCACACACAGAAGAATAGGGAGCTTGCTTTTAAAATCAACTGAAAGCAAAGATTTCACACCTCCAAATCAGGATGGCTTGTGCTTTGTGGAGCCCAGATTATCAGCTGTGGGGACATGAACTCACAAGGGCAAACTGTGGAGTTTGGAGCAAGCTAAGGCTGCAGACTCCTAAAGAAAGTTGCTGAAATAATATGGTAATTTATGCAAGAGCATGGCACACAGGGTCCTGCCTATGCATCAGAAAAGGGCCACTCAAACTGCTGATTCCAGCAGAAAGACACAATGTGATCAGCAGCACTTTTGTAAAAAAAACCCCCCGAAACTTGGTGTCTCTCTCCTCCTTGCAGATGCATGTGCAGAGTGGGGGGTCCACCCCACCAAACACCAAGCGCAAGAGCCAAGTGTGGCTCTCCGTTTCCTGACAGCAGGAACCAGACTCCCTGCTCTTGCATGTGTGTAGACAGGAGTTCCTTGGCTCCTTTTAGACTTGAGGGCCAAGTGTACTTTTCCAAACCTTTCACAAATGTGAGCAATGAAAAAAATAGACCCAAGAAACCCCTGAACTGCTGGTAAAGAAAACATTGCTAGTTGAAGGGATGTGTGTCTCAGCGTGCTCCAAGCAACTTCCACCAGCATAATCTGATCTTCCCTGTTCATCTCAGAAGAAAGTCATTTGGACTCTAGAAATGGTGGCTGGTCTCTTCCTCCCTTCAAACAATCACTCCTCATCCTGCTGCTGCACTGAAAACCTTTTCTTTTAAGGGAGTTTTGTCTTCACAACATTCATTGGGGCAAAGGGGTGCAATGGCTCCTACTGGCACCTCTTGGGGCCCGAAGCATATATTTAGCTTCTCAGTTAGCTCAGGCTGACACAGACAAGGACCTTTTCATATCTGATGTCTGCATATAGACAGAGCTGACTTAAGGGGTTTTGTGGTGGAAGCAAAATTGAACTATTTTATCCTTACTTTTGCATCCACAAAATTAATTTGATTCCTGTCTCCCATGCCCAAAGTTCCAAGGCAGTGTGGAAACATCTCAAGATCTGCCTAAAGCTGCTTGTACTTTCACTGCTGTTACTTCTGCTCTCAAGAGACTTTCCTTGGGGACACATCAGGCTCACAGCAGGCAAAGAGTACATCTTTTAGTAAGAGACAGAAACCAAAAGCTTATCAATCAATCAGTGAATAAGAGGCCCTTTGAATTGGCTACAATATCCAAACAAAAATAATCACATCATCATAGAATCCTGTTACATTAAAAAAATCATGAGACCTAGTTGGACTGGAAGGAACCTGCAGTATCTACAGGATTCTGAAAATCCCTCTTGCTTGACCTTCTCACCCCTTCTTATCTGAATTCCACTGGGAAGAAAGAGGAGACTAGGACAAATCCCAACCCCAGGGTATGTCTTGGCACAGTGCAAACTGTGATGAGAGTTTGTGAATTCTCCACCTCCCCTGTCAACCCTCCAAAAGGGGGACTGGGTAAAAGAGCGAGCTGTACTGGAAAGAACCCCACCTTCCAGCAATGACAACCATCACAGGGGTGTAATTCAGGGCTCTGCTGGCCACTGGTGCATGAGGGAACATACATCTGACCAGCCAATGTGCATCCAGAGGAATTTCTGGGAAGGATATTGCAGTGTTCTAGCTTGCAAGTTGAACCTAGAGACGACCTGCTACCAAGCCTTCTTTCAAGTATTTTCATGTATTAACAAGAGTAATTTATTATTTGAGGGGTGTTTGTTGACCTGAATTTTCCTGGTGCTCTCTATGGTAACCTGTTCTGGCACAATTCATTAACTTTTTCTGACCAATAAATTTTCTGTTTCCTCATGCACATGTTAATACAAATACAACAGAGATAATGGGTCAGAAAAGGCAGCAATTCTCACAGGAACAGACAGCTACGGTTTCCTGCTTTGGTGCTGGGCACAATGGATTCCTCTAGGCAGAACCATCTGCTATAGAACCACACCCAGAATTTTCTTGTGAAGTTGTTGACAGTCTTAGTAAAACAGGAAAGTTGGTTGCTGGAAAGTCTGTACAGGCTTAACAGTGCCAGGCATTTGGACAGCTGCAGAAGCTGGGTTTTACCATCAAACTGGCTCAGAAAACCAGTTGTTTGAGTAGGTACTCATGGTCATTGTGGAGGGTGAGGCTCAGGATCCTACAAGTGCTCAAGGCCACACAGATACCTCCCACAACAGAGATGGATTTATATAGTTTATTTCCTATATGGAGAAGAGCCTTTATGCCAAAGAAATTTTATGTTTTCCTGGGATTCCTTTGAAGTAAACTCTGAAAATCTGTCAGCTGATTTGACAGGTGGTTCACAGAAAAGCGATGCTTGAGAACCCATCTGTCCCAGCCCAAAGCTGCTGTCTGTCACTGCTATCACACATATCAGCAGGGAGCCAAGATCTCGAGGAGCATCCAATTCAATACCCAGTACACCTGCCAGGACCCTATCATGTATTGAGAGATGCAGAACTTTGGAGCTCACCAGAGACTTTCTGGGCCTGTCATTAGGACCTGTTGGTAACTTATCTTCTGCATAGTGCTAAAAAAATTACCTCACAGTTTTTCTGGAAAAGAACTGGAATGGCTTGAGCACTTCCCTTAGGCTGAGTTGCACCAATTTGAGCAGAAACAATAATGCATGTGTGTTGGAGCCAATTCAGCTTTTGGTGCAAACATAAATGGGTGCATGGGTTCTGATTCAGGAGGGAAGAGCTGTCTCAAGTCATTACATTCAAATTACCATTGTTTTCTCTGAGAGAAAGGTACACAATCATTGCAGAAATCTAATTGTGCACCCACTTACATCTGTAGGTGCTTAAATAACCACATAAATAAGATTCAGGCTCAAGACAGATAGTTCTGGAGCCAGTTTGGTCTGGCTCCTAAGTACCAAGTCTTCTGTGATAACTGAATGTGAACTCCCACGCCCCACCACGGGGGCTCTTGGAAATTCCAATTCCTGCAGAAAGTCACTGATACCACACAGGAAGAGGCCAAGTACTTCCATTAAGTAGTAGGAAATCTATACAAGGATCTACCTTCTGTAGATCTACTTTGTGTTTGTCTCAGGTTTTATGCTCTCTCCTACTACTACTGTCTTAGGCTGCTTTGCATAACACAAAACCAGTGCCAGCCAGGGTGTTGCTGCACAGGTGCTTCTACACAAGGGCCACAGCAGAGCTTGTTGCTGTTGCAGATTCTTTCTCTTTATCATGGGAAACTTTATCCATTAGGAAAGGTTTGCAGAATTCTGATCTGTGAACTGTGAGTGCTGACATTAGAGGCAAGGGAGTGATTTTGAGAGGTCGGTGAAGTGCAAGACATGAGTGTGGTGGCAGCCTCTCTTGATCAGCTGAGACATCTCTGCCCTGTCACCTGTTAATGCCACTGTCATAAGGGGTATGGGGGCCTGTCAGAGACCTGCTAAAATGTTTTCTCCACAGAACAGACAGGCACAGCTAAGTCTGTGTGAAGGCCCAAGAGAGTCGCTGTGAAACACAGACCTGGCAATCTTAAATAGATTGTTGGCTAAGAACAGATTGCAATTTTCAGCCAATAAATTTTTAGTAGTATCTATGTAACTAAACAGAAACATTGGCTTGCAGACAAAGGGCTCTTAAGATTAATTATTGATCTCTTCTTGATATTCAGAGATGCTTCTCATAGGTGACATGTAAGCCTTTGCACAGGGCTGGCGTCAGTCATGCAAGCCCTTCCCTGTGTGGTACCAAGGGGTTTGAACAGCACACTCAGCTCATGCTGGCCTTCTCATGGCTTGAAAAGTCACCTTCATGTCCTTGGTGTCACCACTGAACCTATTATTCAGTTCAGCACTAGGTACAGAGGACATTCCTGACTTGGTCATCTCCTGACCGGAGAGAAGTCCCAGGCATATTTAATTTCCTAATGTGCCACCACAGCTTATGGCCTGGTCATACAACAGCATCTAAAGAAATGGCCCTGCCCCATGGACCCCCTCCACACAGTCTGCAGCTAAGGCAGGGAATATCTGGCAGAAACAGGTATCAGAGAAGAAGAAGAAGAAGCAGTAAGACACAGTACCATGACTCTCGGGTCTCCTGGTCATTGTCAGAAGCTGGAGGAAGAAGAGAGACAAACAGCTAATATTTATTACATGTCACCTAAATTCAAGGCAAGGGAACTAGTTTTTGATGCTAATCATACTAAGAACTGATTAACTATATGGAAGTTCATTACTTTGCTGCATCTCTATGTTTGTCCCTCATATTGGGCAATTTGTTTGAGTTTCAGAAATAATGTCTCTCACTTTGCTATCATGGATGCTTTCAAAACACCATTGCTCTTGCACCTGAAGTTTCTCCCCACCTGTGTTCTCTCTTCCCTGTGCTCCTGCCTGGAGAAGGTCCCTCAGTGGTGCCCAAACATACCAAAGGGGGGTGTGTGCTCCGCCTTTGTTGAGCAGACGCTCTCCTCGTGTGCCCATCTGCCATAGGTGGCCGAGTAGATGATAAGGAACTTGGATTCCTGACAGTGGAGCTTCAGTTCCTGGTTTTCACATGCTGATTTGGTTTTGTATTCAGCTAAAGTAGAAGCAAACAGCAATATGATAGTGTGAGGCAATTTAAATTGCTGGACTGTTAATAGCAAATAGCAGCAGGACAGAAACCAGCTTTCCTGCAAATGCTGTTGCAAGTGACACGTGGCACCTGTACAGCTAGACACAAAGTCAAGAGCAGAGTGCTTCTTCCAAATGAATTGTGCCCAAGTGACTGTCTAGAGCCTGTGGCTCCATCTTGAACAGAATAGAAAACCCTAATTTTGCCAATCGCCTTTCCTAGTGAAACAGCCCCCCTGCTTTACTGGCTTTCTTTCCACTCCTGCTCAGCAAGAGAAGCTTCATCCTTCTCTTTTGTCTCTCCAGGGGACACTGTTGCATTCTACATGTGCCTCAGCTGCCTCTGCACCCTCATCACTCACGGGCAGGGCTGGCACAGCTCAGTGACAGCGCTGGGCGAGGCACGGACAATGGGAGGACAAAAGGCCAGGACGGGATCCCCATCCCAAGCCAGGCAGTGCTCTCAGCTCTCAGCTGTCTTTGCACTGTTCCTCCAAAGTCACTGGGTGTCCCTGGGTGGCACTATCCAGCAAGGGCTCATTTGAAAGTTTGGCTGGCAAAGTGATGTGAATTAGAGGCCTGAAAAAAATCCCCTCCTCCCTTGCTCAGCTGGCACAAGCACCCTGGCAGCACCCTCAGCAGAGATGGGGAAGGCACTGAGCTCCTCTTCATGGCTTATCCCTCCTGGGGTACCCCTTTAAATCTGCCACTGGCCAACAAGGCTCTTCCTGGCCTAAGCAGCCACTCTGTTGGTGGCACTCTACCTTCTTAAGTCTTTCTGGTTAAGCTGTGATGCCAAACCTTTTTACGCCAGATTAGGTCAGGGAGAAGAGTTTATTCTCCTCCAATTTTTTTGTCCTCAAAAATGTGAAAACAGGAAAAGGAGATTCCTGAGCTGAGCAGAAGAAAAGGGAAACCTTATTGTTAGTGACTGGTGTCCCTGTGAGTGGAGGGTGGATGCTGGTTCTTCAGGAACTGGAGAGAGAAAAACCTCCTATCTACTCATGAATTAAAGCAGTATTGTTTCTTCCAGAAGAGAACAGCTAAAACAATGGGTTAGTGTTCTTGGTAACAGTCCAGTTTTTACCATTCAAGCTCATCAACAGCCATGAGCTTAAGTGTAAAAAGGAGTGATTTTGAAAAATATTTTGAAAACATTTTTGGAAACATTTTGAAAAATACTTGACCTATTGCAGATTGTGACTTCTGCAGAAGCACCTGCCATGCTGTGTACACATAAATAGGCCAAAAACCTGGGGTTTGTGCCCAAGGACTGACAGCCTGCAGCAGGACTCTGAGTTTGCCTGGCTAAGCTGGAGAGGCTGTGGAAGTATGTATAACCCCAAGTGGTATCAGGCAAGGAGAAGAGCCCAACATAAACCTCTGTAAGGATATGGCAACAATAATTCTAAATAGGGATTTAGGCAACTGCTTAAGTGCCCACTTGAAGGCAAGGAGACTGCAAAATATACCTGAAGTTATGCTGAAGTGATTTCCTGAGTAAGGATGTTTTCCACTGCCAAGACTAACAATATTGGTATCTTACCTACAAATATAAATTTCCTGTCACTAGAAATCCTGTCATTTGCCCTGGAATTGGACTATCCCTCAATTCTGAAGGCAGCAGCTGCTGTTAAATACACTTTTCACCAGCTTTTTAAAAAGTCAGATCACAGAAAATACTATATACTCAAAGAAGCTCATCTCCCATGGGAAAAAATATTAAGCACCTTCTGAAAGTAATAAACAGGATCCCAATTCACTTTTGTTTAGCAAAAAGAGATTTCTAATGACACAGACACTGCTATGATATTCAAATCCATCTACTATTAGTAATGGACTATTAATCTACTATTGATAATTGCAATATACAAAAATAATTAAACTATTGATATAATAAAACAGATAATGAAAATTTTAAATTTCACGCATTTTTTCCCCCTAATGATTGGCCCACTGTATCTCCCCAGGAGTTCTTGAGTCAGTGCTTTACCAAAGGAACATCTGCCTACTCCACTCCATTTCTCTGCTCTGACTTCTACTTTCCATTGTGAGCTGGCCCTTCAGTTTGCATGCCACCTACTCCTGTTTTACCACTGATATCTATCTTAGTGCTCTGATGAAAGAAAACCCCTTTAGTGCTTTCTCTAAGGTTGATATTTCTGTGTTGGCTGGTGAACCTCCCCATAAATCATCATTCAGGTGTTTTCTTTGGGACCCATTTCAGCCACACTGGGAATTCACTGCCAAAAGAGCTGAGCCCCCAGGCTACTGGAACTTGTTCTCACATACCATAGCAACAATGAGAACGATTAAAAACCACCAATAAAGGAAATCTCGTGAGGATTATCTTAATCATTCTTCCCCTTTCTCATGTTTACAATGTGGATTCTCTTTAAGGCAGGATTTGTCCCTTCACATATCAGCATCAAATACCTGCACAGAGCACAGGTGATTCTACAATAAAAGCCTCTACCCAAATCACCACATGTATCTTCTGGCCATTATTCCATAAACAGAAGGAATTTTTGAATCTTTGGAAGCTTTGGGCCCAGCTCCTTAAGTATTTTTTTGCATATTCTTTCCTAGGGATACCTTCTTCATTTGGATCCTTAGCCCAAGCATCTGGTTTTGCTGTTCAGCTCTTTCTAATATGACATTATCATTGCTATCTCATTAAAAATAATTTCCGTAACATTTTTCCTTTCTAGTCTGATGTCTGACATCTGCCCCTGCCAAACTACACTGGTCATTAAACTGGCAGCAAGCACCCTGAAGCTGCAAACACAATGGAGAGCTAAGGTAAAGTAGAAAAGAACAATGTTATCGATCCAAGAGCCCCAAAACCTCACATGGATTTATGCAAAGCCTTGTGCAGTGGCATTTTAACCAAAACAAGCAACAAAACACACAGAAAAACACATTTGCCTGATAAAGATTACTTACTAGGTTTGCATTTAAAGGAGACAAGGAGGAATTTAGTAGTCCCTGGACACAGATCAGGCCCAAAAACCCGACTATTGACAAGGAGTTGGCAGGATCTCAGGTTTTGGCATTCATCCAGTACTTTCTAGAACAATGGGCAAAAAGGATAGTCTTGACAACAAGGTATGAAGCTATAAAGCAATGAAAACACTTAGTTGTACTTTGTTCTACACAGGAGAGAAATCACAATTTTTTGGCTATAAACATGCAAGAAACATCTGTATCATTGGATCTAGGCCATAGCTCTACTGGACTTGGAGTCATGGCCAGCTTTATGGGAACACGTTCATCACAGCCACGCTCACAGCACATTAGGATGTTACCAACTTGTTGTTTGTCACTTTTCCCTCTGCCCCCGGGGAGGCTGCCCAAGTTGCCCTGAGTGCCACCACAGCCTCGATGGTGCAGAGCCCAGAGCACGTGGAAACACACGAAGCCCCCAGCTGTCCCACTGAGATACTTGAGGCACTTGTACACTCCTGAGCACATTTATGGGAGTGCAATGTCCAGGGAAGGCATGGCAACAAAAAAGGTGTCTTCTTAACCACTTCTTGATCTGCTTACATGTACCTGAACATGCTCTGTAAATAATTTTCACTTGAAAGAGTTCTGACTAATGATAAGTACAACTCAAGCTTTAAGCCATGTGTAGGACCTCTTGCTTAAGGGACACTTCCTGCTCGCTTGCAGTTACACACATTATCAGCAAATTTCAGAACTGGTTTGATTGGATAGCACACATGTGCAAGTCTATCCTCTGCCTCCTTGTCTTGTTTTGTGGGGTGTTTTTAGTGCTGTTCTAAGGACATATCTACTCCAAATTTATTGGTCCAGCGATATATCCTGGTTCTTAAAGTGCAGCTTCCCTGGGAGTGGCAGCAGAGGAAGACCACAAACAGGTCAGCAGTGTTATATACAAAGTGTTATGTGGACTCTCTCCCAATCTGGCAAAAGGACTGAGTGCTTGTACTGCTCACACTGGTGCTCACACTCCAGCTGTGCTCTTGGAACTGTAGCTGCAGAAAATATGAAGACATTGCCAGGGCCAGCCTGTCCATTTTTTAACACAGTCACAAGCCAAACACCTAAAAACACCAGTTTAAATGCAGCAGTGGATTTAGGAAGTTCTTATTCACCTCCAAAACTCAGTTAATAGAGGTCTTTTCTGACACTGTTTTTGGATAGTCTGTGTGGTTGTACACAGGATTCATGATGTTTAAAATTACAGCAGGCTGTGACAAAGGAGGGTGTTATCTCCAGGTCACCCCACTCTTAACAGGAGTAACTGTAATAAACCATTCTGATAGTTGTAGGTAGTCGCTCAAAATCTATGGGAACTTTTGCTTTTTTTTCTCATCAGAAGAGGTCTCAGTCATACCAAGAGACCAAATCACAAATGTACCACTGTGGTGGCACAAGCTGCATTCCTATTTCCAGGCTGAGAGAGTTGGCAGTGGCTGGATCTCTGTTGTCATCATTGGAAACCTTCCCTCCCAAGCAGCAATGACACACATTGGCAGCACATTGCAGTGATCCTACAGCTCTCATTGGCAGAGGAAGAGGACATGCATCCAACACTTTTTCAGCATTAAATGCACTCTAAAGAGTTTAAAAGGGAAGCTAAGCACAGACTTAATTTTATCAGTCAATTTTCCTTTTACAGAGTTGCAAGTCAAAAAAATAACTCCTCCTTAATTGGGATAGTTCTGGAAGGGACCAGTGAAATAAGAGTTATATATTTAGTAAATAAAGATAGCTGTCCCCTGCTGAGTCACCTTCTGTTTGCACCTGAGCTGAATCATCTCCTGTGCATCTGTTTGTATTTTCTCCTGCCTAATGTGAACAGCAGTTGCATTTTCTGTCATGATGCTGTGCAGAAGCACACAGCTCCAAAAGCAAACAATGATACCCAAAATAGCACTGGGCAGTTACTGTCTCTAGCCAGATCCCTCTGACAAGAGGTCTCTGTAAAATGTGCCTGTGATGCTTCCTCCCAGCTACAGGGCATCATCTCAGCTGCCTGTGCAGGCTGCAGATCCACTTCTAAAGAGAAGGGAAGGAGGGATGAGGTCACTGGTGCTCTTTTCTAAGAAATCAGTTTACAAGATGTGTTCCTTCTCCTTAACAGAACTGAAACTCCCTGAGATGCAGAGCATTTGTATCTGACAAATTCATGGCCTTGCCAAAATGCTTTCATGCCTTTGATCAGCCACAGTGCCCAAATGATGGTGGTAGTTTATATAACAGTTACCCCATGCTGTGTTTATTATATTTGAGGGAAAAAAGTGCCCATGGAGACGTTACAAAGGCACTCACAAGCCCAAAATAATAATTGGTGCTACTTTACTGCAGCCAGTAATATAACATTAAGGATGCATCTGGCCTGCTGTTTTTTGTGGAGAGATGTACTTTCACATGGCCCATAGGTCATGTCTGGAATGTCCTCAAAAATTGCAGTACATCATGGGTGAGCCACACTTATAAGATTGCCCTAATACTGTTTCTGGAGAGAGGATATTACTGCCAAACCACTTCATAATACCCTTCAACTCAGTAGTGGGAACAGACATTCCTTGATGTCAAGAAGGAACGTGTGGCCGACAGACAGAAATGTTGCAAACTCCATCAAAACTTCTGTAAAGCATTTACAAGTTTAACAAACAGAACATGTTCAGATTCCACTGACTACTCATTTTTGGAAGGATTTACTGAATTTGGAACAACACTGGGTATTTTTCACTAAGATGAAACAAGCCTTTGACAGCAGTGTAAGTCAGACCTTGTTACAGAAGTCTCTACAGCAGAAATTAATAACTGATGAAGTATAAATAATTTTAAGCTATACTGAAGCAGGCCCAACAAACAAACCTTAGGATGTTGCTGATACAAATCAGGTAGTCACAGAAATGCAGGTATCTGCAGAAATTCTTGGGATTTGCTGTTTAGCTGTTGCTGTGCCTTTTCAGTGAGAGAAGAAAAGCATGCAATAAGCCAGCATGTCATCTTATTCGCTGGATTTGTAACCTCACTCTGTCCAGTGCTTGTATCCTCCCCTGGGGTCAAGGAGGGCCTCTGTGATAGATTAAGACTGGTCAACTCAGCCATGACCATCTCTTGAATGGAAAGGAGCGGACTGTTTTAGGGAACTTTAAGAATGGGGTTTTCAAAGCAAGGTTCATCACAATGGAAGGCAATCTTCAAAGCTCTCACAATCCTACAGTAATACCCTGCTGTCCAGACAAACCCTTCCAGCTGTAACACTTTTGGTGGCAAACTGCCATAGGTACAGTGTTGTCTTGTTCAAGGTTGAGAACTCTTGCACAGAAATGGCAGGGAAACCATAAAAAACATTCTGTACCTTAAGAACCTTTACAAATATGTGGTACCTGCAAAGAGGTGGGTGCCACGCAGTTCCTGGGTTCTGTCATCCTGGTTTCAGGCTCCCAAGCACTGCACACGTGGGGGTCCTGCCCATAAAACGCTGACTGAACGCTGATGGTTGAGTGCCGAGGGCAGTGCAGGCTCAGGTGTTGCCCGTCGCAGGCATAGGCGGTGTGATTCTGCAGGAGCTTCGTTAGGTAACCTAGAAAATACTCAGCTCTGTTACAACTAGCACAGGAAATGACAAGCTCGTTAGATAATAAAAAAACCACAATCAGTCTCCGGAAAGGGCATTGTAGTCAAGGTTATACATCTGGCCTCCAGCCACCCAGTTCTCTGAATGGGTCACCTCTTACGTGCTCTAGCGCTCTGGGCTGGAGAGCACAAGGTCTCGTGGCAGGGAGTGCGAGCCCTCCCAGCACTTCAGCAGCAGCAGGATGTGTTGTACAGACAATCCATGGGCTCAGGCCCTTGCCAGTCGTGGCTGCTCACGATCCCAGGGTGTGTCTGCAGCAGTCAGAAGGGTATTACTGGGTTTTCTGGGCCAGGTTCTCGCATTCCAGCTGCCTAAGGTATTCCTTATATGTCTTGTTAAAAGGATGTGCTGCACTTTAGGGCTCATGGGCAGTTGTGTTTCACATGCTCTTTAAGTATAGTGGAAGAAAAAAAACCCCTCACATTTTCTTGTGGGAACATTTTCTTATTGTGGGCGAATCGGGTTTTTTTTTGTATTGTTAAAACAAAAATTAGTTTTCTCAAAGAAAATACTGAAAAAAAGTTCACTCCTTTTAATTAATTAAAATTTGCCCTTAAAGTAAAATGTGCCATTTAATTTTCACACTTCTGCCCTTCATAAACTTTCCTCAAAGACAAGTGATTTAAAAAAAAAAAGTTTTAAATAGAAACTTTAGTACTTCAAGCAAAAGATAAGAAAATCATGTAATCATAGAAGGGCTTGGGTTGGAAAGTTCCTTAAAGATCTCCTAATTCCAACCCCCCTGCTACCTTCCACTAGAACAGATTGCTCAGAGCTCCATCCAGTCTGGCCTTGAACACTTCCAGGGATGGGTCAAACATGTCACTTCTCTGGCATCTTTTCCAGCTCCAGCTGTGCATCTGGATAATGAAAATCAGCTTCCCTATCAGTTATTAAGTCTGGCGGAAGGAGAAGCCTGCTCCATTGTTATCTTTACTGTTCCCTGCCTAGAGCCCAGGGGAGGACAGGAGCAGGCAGATGCACTTTCCAGCGCAGCAGAGCTGCAGTTGAGTTCCCCGCCTCACTGACCTTGGTCTGAGCACTGGCACTGGAACTGGGACAGCAGAATTTCATGCCCTGCATTTGCACTCTGGATCTCAAGGAGACCAGTCCAGCATCAATCCCCACAGCTTCTCATGGGTTAAAAAGAATAACCAAGCCCACAACCAAACCCATCCCCTACATTTTCTGTGTAACTGAGACCACAAATAATTGAAGTTCCTTGCCAGAGCCCCTCCTCTGTCAGCCTGCTCCTGAGAGATGCCGAATGCTGCCAGGAAAATGGGCCGAATGCCCAACTGCACCCAAGTGACTTCACTATGGCCAGTGCTGCAGAGGGGCCTCCTGTGGCATTCGCTGAACGCCTTTGGCATCACCGTCGGGGCATAAAGGGCCACGGGGTCAGGGTATTCAGCCCTGCGTGAGCTGCGGGCACTCACCCTCACAGATACGACCCAATATTTTTAATCATTTCAATTCTTCAGGTTTTAAGTTACTTGGGGCCAAGAGTGCTGTATACAAAACAGTCCAGTATTCCCTAAAGAATATCAGCTATGCTGTGATTTGGATGAGTTCCCTGGCATCTTAACTGCTACTTTGATCCTGCAAATTCCTAATCCAGCATCTAAGCACCTTTCTCCAACAATTGCAACTATTCAATCCTTTAAGAAAATGTCTTTATAAAAAACTTGCTCTGATTCTGTAGGAGCAATATGGTTCACTTGTTAAAATGACATTAGATGGACTGGTGAAAATAAGATATCTTGCTCTCCAGCCTTCCAAGCAGCCTAAACATGACTCTGCTGTTACTAAAATCCTTGTGGATTTGCACACAATAAGGGATAAAAATAGTAATGGAAATTGCTGAAACCTAATGTTCTCTGATAACAGGAGTGGTGACATAGTATCTAAATTGCTCATCTCACAAGGCAGACCACATAAACCTGCATTTTTCATTACTGCAGACACAGACATGCATGGAACAGTCAGTCCTTTGCAGCTCACAGCCCATGCTGAGGGAGGACTCCCACTCCAAAAGTCATGATTTCCTCTTACCCTTCTCTGAAGAACTCCAGGTTCTTTCCTGTCCTCATGCTGGCCCTCTCCTCACAGGGGAGCACTGCCTGCCCTGCACTCATCAATTGCCTCAGCAGCTGCTGCTTCTCCTCCTTTCCTGGGTAGTGTGACTTGTAGTTGCCCTGGTAGAAGCTTCACCTTCTTGAGACCATGCACATCCCTATATTGTGTACTGACTTCTGTTCAGAAACAGATTTTCCAGGAGGGAGAAAATTCAGCCAAACAACAATGTAAGGCTGGGGGAAAATCAGGTGTAATCTCTATCAGTAATAACAGCCGTAGTGATCAGGAGTGAGGACATTGTGAGGGATGAACTCTTCCTGGGGCAGCCTCCTGTCCTCTCTTTTTGTGTTTACTTCATCAATATCAGTTAGCTGTGAATTTGGGGAAAACCGTCTTTTACTATCTAAATATGGGAGCTGGAGGCTGTTCCTGGACTACAGCAGACCTCCAAGTCCTGGTCCCCTGCATGCCAGAGAAGTCTTCACTAGCTCCTGGATGGTCAAGGAGATTCCCTTTCCCCGAAGAGCAAGGCAGAGGGAGGGCTGGAGCACAACCAGCATGGATGGAGTGAGGTCATGGCTCTGTTCACTTGGGCTGGGCAATCAGAAGACTTGTGAGTTTTGGGGTCTCTTACCCTGAGCAAAGAGAATCGTAACCAGACCCCATAAAAACCTTAGATTACTTAATGTTTTAAAACTAATATTGGTTTTTTTTTCCTTGTTTTCTGGGTTAGGTAATGAAGGGGGAGATGGTGTTCAGCTGCACCAGTTACTTTTGCAAGTGTCATTTTGTAATGAGCAGGACTATAAAGTTCCTCTTTATTCAGAAACAATAAATGTCACTCTTTAAAACAATAAGAAGCTATACAAAAAAAGTTAACTACCATGAGAATTGTCCAAATTAGAAAACCTTGGGAATACTGCAGTGCCCCAGTAACATCTCTACACCTCTGTGTGAAAGCCCCACTAGGCACTTTCCCATTTATCCAGGACACACATTCATAAGCAATGTATGGAGTGGTCTGCATCTGGAATCATGTACAAGACGTTAGAGACTGGCTCAGAAGTTAAGCCTAAAGCAGACAGGCACAAAAAGATCCCATTATTTGGAGGCCAGAAGGTATCATCCCATCCAACTGTCTGTCTAACCGAGACTACTCATTCATTGTAATCTTTTACTGAGATTCAAAACACCAGTACAGAATCCAAGCGTAATCCTTTCTTCCAGAATTAGCCAAATTAGTCACAGCATCCACTGTGTTGACAAAGAACTTCAACTAAAAAAACATAGCACCAGAGAACCACACAAAACACTGAGGCTGAGCAGCTGAACAAAGCCTTACTGATCACTTTTTACTGAAAAAGAGAACTGATAAATGATTTTAAAAATGATTGACAAAAAAAAAATCAAAAACAACAACTGGCATAGGAGAATAAATAGATACTTCTTTGTATGAAAAAGAATTCTTAGGGGGTTATAGCTTCTCATACTTAACCACTTGCTCCTGGCATAATCACTTTGAATTGCAATGATAAGGGTAGCAGTGGACCTGAAGGTATGGAAATCCAAATTTGATTTTTTTTTTTCCCGCTTAAAAATACTGAAAATCTGGGAACTTAGAAAGTTCTGTGTATGTTTGAGCTCCCCGGATGCAAGGCAAGGATCAAGAAGAGCATTTCAGGCTGTGAGCCCAATACCCAGCACACACTAAAAGCAACCTCAGCATTGGCTCAGGTAATATCTTTTGGGTAAGACAGCAGCTTTGCAATGCAGTATTTTTAGAGGCTGAGGCTGAGTAGTCCACAAGCTGTGAAGGTTCTCAGAACTGGGCCTTCATACACAGTTTTAGTAACATCAGTTCCTGTGTATCGTTCAATTTAGTTTAATTAGCACAGAAATGTGCTAGCTCATTTTAAAGACATACCCATCTATTTTAGATCAAAATAGATAGAAATAGCACACGTATTGTTGTGGGAGTCCCAGAAGGCTCATCCATCCGGTAAATCTCCATCAGCTCCCACAGTTCTGTGAAGAATTGTGCCAACACTCATTAAAAATACACAAGCCAGCTTGGTGAATTTGAAGGAAGCTATTTCACACAGTGATAGCAGAATAGTTAATGAACTCTAGTACAAACACCATTAGAAGCAGAACTCTGATATTGATTGGTGTTTGGGATCCAGCTGCAGTACTTCTCCAGCAGTATTTTCTCTGTTGGTTTGTGAAGGAAGCACTGAGGAGAAATTAACTCCTGAGTTTCAGCCCCAATCCCATCTGCCATACTTTCTGCTGCTCTCGAGGCAGCTGTGCCACAGATCATGCTGTGCCAGGGTTCTCTGTCCACAGGGACAAGGATCTGCTGGCATTCCCTGTCACCTGTCTGTCTGCAAACTGTCTGCAATGTTTCTAAAATTCATGACACTATGTTTCTTGCTTCATCATTTTATTCTTTTTTATCTAAGAGCCTTGTCAACATTCTGTTTGACTCACTCTAGCCACACTCCACATCACAATCTTTAATCAGTAAGAAATACACTTAGACAGAAGCATTGTTTATTCTTCTTGCTGTTCAGAAATTAGCACAACTAGCTTTACTCAGCACATGCACATAAAAATCTGTAGTTCCTTAATATATGCCTTTTTGCATGTCACCAAACTGATTTAATTTCCCTCCATGCCTTATTTTTTTTCAGTGTGCCTTTTTCCACTGTTCCTCTCAACCCTTGCTCTCTTTGCTAGTGACTACCATCCTACCAACTTCAAACTTTCACTTGTACTGCAGAGATAGCACGAAAAGTTGGTTTTCTGTGCAAGGAAAATGTTTTTCATATAATCACTCTTTTTTTGTATTATCTAAATTTTTTTTT